CTTGAATATCTGCTGCAGGAACTGAGAAGAAATATTTGGTTGACAATGGCTATCTGGGCCTATAGAAAAGGGTTTCGGAGTTTAACTCTTGACAAAGAAACAATCCCTGTTGACCAAAGGCAGATGATACACACCTTGCAGGGACATGGCCAGCCTATGATGTCCTCCAAGCCCAGCTGCTAGAGCTTTTGCAAATTACTTCTTAGTTGTGGTGATAAATTAGAGATGAATGAAGGGGCTTTGGGCTGCATCTTGGATGTGGGTTCTCATTAATGAATTAAAGACATTTTAAGTCCTCATTAATGAATTAAAGACATTATAAGAGAGGGTTTATTTTATTTTTTTAATAATAAGACTGAACTGTCTCTTGCATGCGGGAATTACTAATGCTACTGCTATTGTCCAGACTATGCTTGCCCCAAATTCTGCTCTAAAAGATATTCAGAAAAGCCCTTTGGGAGACCAGGCAAATGTAGTCAATCATCCCCTTAATTTAACTTACTGTTTTCATCCTTGAGATACAAACACTAGATCCAGTTCCCAGTTCAGCAAAGTTGAACCTACCTCTCTCTTGGCCACCAGCAAAGCCTCTTTGCTTCAGTTGTGCCAAGTGCATACAAATTTCACGTAAACATTAAAAGTTTATATGAATTAAAAATATAGTTGAGTTGGGCATGGTGATATACCCTCGTAATCTCAGCTACTGTGGAGGCTGAGGCAGGAGGATCTCTAGTTCAAGGCCAGCTTGGGCAACATGTAGTGAGATCCCTTCTCAAAAAAAAAAAAAAAAAAAAAAAAAATCCAGCTGTTACTAGGGCTCTTTGGAGCCAAGAATTCTCTAAGAAGACAGGCTTACACCTTCCTTGGACCAATGAAAATGTGTCATGGCCCAAACTTCTGGCACTTTTGAGTGCTAGGAGATGCAAAACAAAGAAAAAAAAAAAAACAGTTTGTGCACATGCTTGTGTAACCTCAAGATATTGTTCAAATTTACACTCCACCAGCTGTCAACCCCCTGCTCTCTCACACACACACGTGTGAGCATACACACACACACGTGAACATATACACACACACACACATACATACACAATCTGGGAACAGAGTCAAGAACTTTTGCTCATATTTTTTTAATGTATCACAATGAGCAGGAAACATACTTGATGAAATATTTTCAAAGGAGTATATTCAATTACCATCTACAATCAACTTAACTATGACAACAAAGTTTTTGTGACAAATTTCTTTTTTTCAGTTTGAAAGTTCCATGTGGTTCTGTTTGTTAGTCTCCATGTATTTTGGTACAGTTCAAGATCAGCATTGTTACAGTAACAAAAAAGCTAACAAGACTACATTATAGAAAAACACCAAGAACATCATTTTTGGTTTCACTTGCTCTATTTTTTTTTTTGTTTTTTGTTTTTTTTTTATTTTGTTTTGTTTTTGTTTTTTTTGTACATTGCAAAGGCTGTTCATATACCTCTTCACCTCAGGGTCATGTTCATTTATGCTTTCTTTCCTACCCAAACTTGCCCCCCTCCCCCCTGAAGAAAGTAAACAAACAAACAAAAAAACTAGTCAAAGCTTTGTTTCACAGTGGGCAGTATCTCAGCGCCAACAAACAACCAACTCAATTTATGCTTCTATTTAAAATGTTTTAATTTAATTTATTATTTAAAAAAAATATATGTCCATGAACATCAAGTGCACTGGCTTGGGTCACTGCCTCTCTCTCCTGCAACTTCCTGCCATGCCTGAAAAACTCAGGTTTACACATGCCGTCTGTTTTACTTTATTTTCAATTGTGTAAAACTTTGGCCACATTCATCTCTTTAAATAGCATTTAATTAAAAAAAAAAACTTCCTAGACGTATTAACTCTTCTCTGTGTGTATGTGTATATATGTGTATGTGTGTATTTTCCTTTTAAGTTTCTTTTTGGAAGGATGGAGAAAGGATGGATAAAATCACTCCCATTCTGTGCATCAAGAGCTGGTGCTATGACCCAATGTGTCTGGCACCAACCCACACTGTGGAGTATTTGAGAAAAACCAAAAACAAACAACAAAAACAAAACAAACAAACAAACAACAAAAAAACAACCACCAACAACCAAAAAGCGAAGTGCCAATGGAGGTTACGAACTAATTTAAAAAGTGAGTTTGGATATCCTATGCTCACTATACAGCAGACAGGAATAGATTCCCCGAGTGAGATGGATCCAAACAGTTGAGCGTTGTAGTGAATTCATGCTTTGTAAATGCTACAGGTCATAGCCACTGATGATGTCAGCCCACAAACATGTGACCAGCTCATCTCATGTTTGACTTCGACTTTGCACCCTCATTGACTGCTTTGCTACTTCTGGGTTAGTGCTGAGAATTACTTCTGTTTTGAATGAACATACATGTGGGCGGTACAGTTGTAGAGGAAAGCATTAAGTGTGCAACCCACTCCAGGTTGAAACAATCACATACCCCTCAGAGGAATACTGGTGGGTGGAAGCATGCTTAGCCAATCTACCCAACCACCTTATTTGTTGCCAAACACACCCACAGGTCAAGGCATGGCATAACAAAACACTGACAGTCACTCTGCCTCACAGAGGGAGGATGGCATAGCAGAAAGAAAAAAAAAAAAAACACTAAAAACAAAAAACCCAACCACCCAAAATTAAAACCATTAGGGAAGGGGTAGCAAAATTACAAAGGAAGTTAAAGTTGAGGGGGGAGGGAAAGGGACAGAAATTGCACTATTACCAAGCAATATCATTTTTAAAAACAGTTTTTAGAGAAAACCTAGCAGAATTTGACAGGTAAAGCTAGTGTTAATTGTTAACTGGTGTCACATAAAGAACCAAAAACAAAAACAATTTTTTTCTATGATACAGACACAGAGTAACATACAACAGTTAAATGGCAAAAAATATATATATATATATTTCATAGAGTTACAAACAAGATAAAATAATGAAAAAACAACAAAAAAACTGTACAACTTTAAAATTTAAAAATGTTCATCTCAAACACAGGGAGAAATACAAGAATTCTTGTTAAAGGAAATAGCTTGTTAAAACAGTAAATGTTTTGCGTACTTGTTTTTGACACCTTATGCTACAACTGGATACTGATATGAATAGTTACGATGGTATTCTTTAGAATTTCTACTTAAAAAAATTAAAAAGGAATTTGCACTGTGCATCAGCCTAGTTAGAAATATGTACAACAGTTCAGATCTACTCTTTCATTTATCTAAAAACAAATTCATAAAAATAGTCCCGGCTAAAAAAGAAAAAAAGAAAAAAGAAATCCATTTTCAGATCTTGGAATGCTCCAGTCTTTTGCAAAGTCGATGAGTGGCTTCAGCACTGGGGAAAGAAGCCTGAAAGGTGACCAATGGAACCTGTATTCACAGTCTTCAAAGTTCCCTTTTGAAACATAAGGAGGAGAATGAAGGGGAAAAGGACTTCACACTTTGGGGGCAAGGGGGAGATTGTGTCTGTTGATGTTTGGCTATGAAAGTGAAACAGCAAAGCATCTATTTGTCTCCAAAATCTACGTTTTAGCAGCACAAAGTTTTCCTTTCAAAGTTCAGACCAATTTAAGATTAAAAAAGGGGATGTGTAGCATTGTGTTGTTACAAGAATGTGGATACTAACATAAACACAGGTGCCTCACGTAYGGTTTCCTCTTCTGCTCTCTGTACATTGCTATCTGCTTCTTCGTTGGCTGCGCTCTGGAACACTCGCTGCTCAGACTGCCTAACACAAGGACAAAACTTTGAAGTAAAAAATGTGTCTTTTGGTATATGGAATTGTCATTAACAGTTGCCTCTCTGCTTGCAGAAGAAGCACCTAACAACCTGGGAATCTTTTGTTTTACTCTTTCTTTTATTAAACTAAGTCTTGTTTGTTTAAATCAGAAACAAATTCTCAAGTAACAAGAACCCTTTCCCTCTTTTCTGCATCAGCAGTGAAAGGGTGTGTCTTTGGATTTTATTTAAAGCATGAAATTTCTTTTTCTGAGAGAGGAAAGAAAAAACACAAATACAAAACCAAAAAACCAAACCCCTAAACAAAACTTTACTTTTTTTTTTTAAATAAAAAAAGTACACAACCCAATTACACAAACTGAAACAAATGCCTTAGTTTAGGAAAAGAATATTTGAAGCATCTACCAAACAAGGAGGAAAAGAAGGGGGTACAGAGAAAAGCCAAAGAAATGAAAAATAAAAAATAAATGTACAAGGCTACAGACAAAGGTAACTAGAATTATATGCCTTTAAAAAGTTTCAACTCCCCAACCAAAAATAATCTGTGAGGATCCTAATGACCCCTAGAATCCTTTGAAATTCTTTCTTTAGTTTTATAAAATAATTCTGCAGCTACCCTCTAAGAAATGAAGGCAGCTACCTTAAGTGGGAGATTATAGGATGGGAGTTGGGAGGAGGAAAGAGAAAAGTGGAGTTAAGGGACAAAGGGGAGAAAAGCTTAGGCGAATCAACGGATTGTAATCTATCTGCTAGGGATGAACAAGACGACATCAAATGAGGAGCTGTCAGCTGGACCATACAAAAAGCTAAATGTACACAAAAGGTTTTTTCCTTTTAAATCTACCATACTGCTTCAGTTCATTTCCAATGCAACAATCTACTCAACACCAAAAATGGTCATATCTATCATAAATACAGAAAGTCAGTTTTTTAAAACTTATTTTTTAAGCTACAAGTCCTCAACACTCTTTGTGTGTGTGGGTTTTTTTTTTTTGTTTTTTTGTTTTTTTTTTCTGAAAGTGGGAGTGCTTAACTTTTCCCCTTGAAATTGGCTTCAGCAGAAAAGCTATCCTTAAAAATCCCCAGAAAGCTAAAGCAGTTCACATTGTTTTTCTCAAATACTTTCTGCCCGTTTTTAAATTAACAAAACAAAACAAAAACAAAACAAAATCTTTTCTGGAACCAAAAAAAAAAAAAACTGAAAAAATAATATATATAAAACAATGATTCTGAAAACAGAACAAAGTGTGAGCGATTGACCTGAGAATAAAAAGACATTACATTTCTTTTTTTCTTTTTAGCAAGCCATTGGTATCTGAATGCTAAGATAGCAAGAAATCTAAAACTGCAACAAGGTGGACTGCTTTCCCATACAGTGCATGCCGGGCTCCTCTGTGCTCTCAAGGTGGGGCGTTTATTGAAAAGGGGCAAATATACAAGGGGTTTAAGCTCCAAAGACATAGGGGAGGCCCTGCGGACTTCTGTTTCCCAGACCAATAGTACCTTCAAAAGGACACAATGGAACAGGGTTAGGGGTGTTTCTGTTTTTAATATTAAAAGAAAAAAAAGACAAGAATGTAAAATCACCGGCATAGATAGGTATATGGGAAAACAACCCACGCTTTTTCTTTTTTTTCCTTTTTTTTGTTTTTTTTTTGTGTGTTTTTTTGTTTTTTTGGTTAGAAGCTTTGGAATTGCAGTCAGTCTATTTTTGAAATTGGTTTGTTATTAATTTTTTTTTATTTAAATTCATTTGTTTGTATTGTTCATCTTCAAAGCTTACAATCTGAAGGTGTCCGTTCCTACACTGGTCAGACCACTGTCCTTGGGGCAGCTGGGGTCTTTGGGACCCTCCACCGGGCTCGCCGGTCCGTCGGACTTTTGGCTGAGATCCGTGTCAGACTCCTCCGAATAGTCGTCTGTTGGCATCGAGGGCTGAACCCCTGAGGTGCTGCATGAACTTGAGGTAACCGTTGAAGATGAGGAGAGAGGAGGAAAAGAAGGGGGCTTCGCGGCCGAAGCCCGGGCGACCACCGGCGGCCAAGCCTTCCTGGGGGCGTGGGGGGAAGCGGGCGGGGGCGCGGGGGCCGACGGGGGCGGGGGGCTGTCGTTTGAGTGAGCGGCAGACTGCGAGGTAGATGCGGTGCTAGGATCGGGGAAGCAGGCAGAGTGAGGTAATAAACTAGGGTGCTCTTTGGCGTTTCTCGCTGCTCTCGTGATTGTTCTGTGTTTGTGCAAGGCCGACTCGAGATGCTGACTCAGAGCTTCCTCCCCACAGAGCGCGCTCTCGCACGCCAGGCAGTGGTACGAGCCGCCGCCGCCGCCGCCGCCGCCGCCGCCGCTCCCGGTGGGGACGTGAAGCACCATCTCTTGCAGGTTCACCACAGACTGGCCGAAGAAGCAGAGGGACTTCAGGTGGCTCCTCGCCGCCTCCTCGTCGCCGAAGCCCGCCTGGCACTTGCGGCAGACCAACTTGTACTGCACCTTTGGAACAATGAAGGGGTCGTAGAGGGAGTCCGCACTTTTGCTTTCTGCTTCTGGCTCTTCGGGGGGTTTCGGCAGGAGGGGGGACACCTCGCGGGGGGCATTTTTCTGCTCTTCTGGTTTGGGGGATTCTTTGGCAGGGTCTTTGTCTGGGGAAGCAGCCCCCTGGGGGACTGGGGTTTGGCTTGCTTTGGGCTGCTGCTGCTGCTGCTGCTGCTGCTGCTGCTGCTGCTGCTGCACTTTCTGCTGCTGCTGCTGCTGCTGCTGCTGTTGCAGTTGCCGCTGCTGCTGCTGCTGCTGGATCACCTCCTGCAGACTCTGCTGGTATTGCTGGTACTGCTGCAGTAGGGAGCCCGGGGACAGCCCCATCAGGGCCTGCGACAGCGCAGGGCTGTAGGGGAACAGGCCTTCCATGCCATACATAGGCTGCAGGTACCCGCTCTGCAGGGCGCCAGGGATCTGGGGGGCGTAATAAGGAGAAAAGCCTGGTACAAAGTAAGGAAGGAACTGGCTCGTGAGCAGTGCTGTGGGGTCTGAAGTCAAGGCTGCCTGCAGGGCCTGCAGCTGAGCAGGGTCCACTGCATACTCCATGGCGGGCAGCGGGGCAGAGAGCGTGGCTGCAGCGGCCGTGGGCGCCTCTCCCTTCTCCTTCTTGGGGGCAGGCAGGGGTTCACCTTTCCCTTTGTGTGCCTTCTCCTTCTCCTTTACTTTCTCACTGTCTTTGTCCTTGCGTTGCTGCTGCGGTGGGAGCTGTGGGGTGGGTGGCAGCTGGGCTGCTGGCGGCGGAGGAGGCTGCTGCACCTGTGGCTGCTGCTGCTGCTGGGGTTGGGGGGGTTGCTGAGGGGCCATCGCCATGGTGGCTTGTGCTGGGGTCGGGGAGCTCAGCGATGCTGAGGACGGTTTATTTGGTAATCCAGATGTGGGGAGGCCAGGGGAAGGAACTGTTGTGCTGGGCAGACCCATCAAGTTCGGTTTAGGAGACGTTAAAGCTAAAAGGAACCGAGACAGAAAGAGAAATAACCAGTTAGTCCAGGGTGGCAAGGCTGAAGCTCAAGACATTTACCTGTGTCACTGGCACAATCTGAGATGTCAAGGTTTCAGCCTGAAAGATCCTCTCAAAACCAACATTTTCAACAGAAGCGTCCCACCAGGCCCAGGACTGGATAGCTGAGCATTGTGATAGGGACCCAGTCCTTTTGATCAGCTCCCATCCTTCCCCTTTCAGCTAAACAACTTGCAACACCTTCCTACCCAGCATACCACACCCATTAGCTGACACTATCCTTGCCATGCACTCCCAGATACCATTCACTCTGCCCAATGCAATTAGTCTGGAGGCCCCCAAACTAGCTGTTTCCAGCTGGGGCTCATTTGAACCAGGGGCTTTCATCAAAGCACTACAGAAATAGTCCAGCCACGAGGTTCCACCAGAAGTTGTCTGGAGAAGGGAGCCAAAGCAAGAATCCTGGCAAAGACCCAAGGCCACAGCAAAACAAAACAGGCTCTATACATATCCTTCCTCTCTGACCTCCATTGCTGCAACTGAATGGGTGCTTTAGGAGGCCAGAGAAGAGAACCATAGGAGTGTGGAGGAGGGGCCTGGGAAGAAATAAACAAACCCACTCAGGGAAAACTGCTCCAGTGCCCTGGCTCTGCTGATGTGCTCCAAGTCTGCTGAATAAGACTACCACCTCCTCCTGCCCCTGTGTGAAGGAAAGCCCAGTGGGGATTCAGCTGCTTGAGGACCAGTCACAGAAAGAGAAAAGCAGCCTCAGACATAGAAGAAAGTACTGACACCATCAATTCCCAAGACATCATAGCCAACCCCTGACTACTGTTTATGGGTCTCAGGGGTCTCTAATCCTGTTGGCAGGGACCCACTGTCAATCATGCTCAGTCCTCACCACCTACGCTCTGCAAAGAAAGCCTTCACCCAGCCCAGGGCCTCAGTCCTCCTCAACACACACCTGTCACCTAGAGGGTGTGTTTGGTTCCAGGGTGATGGGAGGAGGGCATTGTGGCTGATGGTACACCAAGCCTCAGGCATGTTCAGACAGCTGGGTTATAAGGAAAGGCAGCAAGGGGCAGTGTGCTAGCGGAAGAAACGCTGAGAACAGGCAGGTTGTGGAGTCCAGAGTGCACAGGGAGTGGCCCTCAGGACTCTCCAGATTCACCAATCTGCACTGCTGCACGGCACACACCCCTTCGTGGATTTTTCACAACAGAATATAAAATTTTACACAAGAATGTAAAATTAAAAAATCTTATAGCTCATTAGTATTTAATTGGGACCACTTGCCAGAAAGCTGGGGCAATAGTTCCACAGCATGACACTCTTCGTGAGAAACAAAACAAAACAAACCACTTGAAGCCTAGACCTGGGTGAAGACTGTGGTGATATCCAGCAGGAGTGATACAATGTTCCCTTGACTATCAAAACCCTTAGGTTTCAGATGAAAATAAGGTTGCTTCAAGTCACCAATCCCAGGAAAACATCTGCTAACATTGGATAGAAGAAGGAAGCTTCCCTCAGCATCACATAATGGATTCAAAAACAGCAGAAAGGGAATATGCTGAGAGTAACTCATCCAATTTCCTCAATGCATACAAGCAACTGAAACCAGAGAAGTGACTGATTGATTGTACCAGAAAAATTCAAATGCTTGATGGTTAAATTGACATAAATGAGGCAAAGACAGAAGGGATTATGAATTCTAAATCTGGAACAAGGCTCTTTCTGTCTACCACTAAGCAACGGGCCCACTCCATATTTCAGGTTTGAGGCCAGAGCCAAAAGATCTGTGGGGCAAAGAGGAAATGTCCACAGATCCCCCATTCTTGGGGCTTTAGGCCTTTGAGATGAAGATTCAGGTCAGGAGGCCTTAAATCGACTTTGTATGTGTTCAACCAATTGTCTATGAGGGAGACTCAAAATTTAAGAAACATTTCCTAACCCCTGCTATTTGCCAAGCTTGCACTAGTCAATGCACCTTCACAAAAATTCTTGGTTTTTGGTAAGATCACAACCAAGCAAGGTGCTTCACCACCCTGAGTCTTACTCATGTACCTCTGGAGTCAGACTGACCCTGTATGGATTATGGCTGACGCACACTGGCTGTGCAACCTTGGATCCACTAACTGACCTCTTGGAACCCCAGCTTTCCACAATAGATGGTTCTGGAGATCAAATGAAAGGCCATGTACAAAGAGCTCAGCATTGGGCCTGACATACAGTAAATGCTTAATAAACACAAGTTCTTTCCCTCCCATTCCAGATCAGTGCTCTTGAGCTGTGGTACAAGCAGGTGCTGGCAACTGGGGCACTGGGTTACCTGGCTACCCTGACTGATTAAAAGCACAGCTTTCTATCTAGGGTCTACTCAAGCGGTCAGAACCTAAGTAGCACTAAATGTATACCTGTTGACTGACTGGCTCATATTGGGTGTTGTGGAAGGAGCACATAGCACTGGGAGCCCGGAGGCCTGGGTGGGAGCTCTGGCTCCTACCCTAGCTTGCTGAATGGTCTTGACCTCTCTGGGCCTCAGTTTTCTCATCTGTAAAACAAGGGGAATACATCAGACATTCTGGTTCTACTTTTTTTTTTTTCCACATTTTTATGATATGCTGGGCCTTCCTAAGCCCCTGGGCTACAACGATAATTCAGTGCCTGGCACTTTCCATAGCTTGTTTCCTGGCTTCTGTCCGGCAGGCTTAGCAGCATTCTGTGGTGTTACTTGCCAATACACATATGCAATGACTGCTGTGTCTGAATGCTTTCTTTTCTTGTTCTCTTTGGATAAGAAACTGGGACCAGGAATTCAGTACTTTCTTTGTCCTGGTAAAAATGGCCAAAGCTGCAAAACTTGGAGTTTATTCGGTCAGAAACTAGGGCTGCAGAGCAGCTTTAACCCCTGGGAATGGGCACATTTTGAAGACAAGGAAGCCCTCTGAGGAGCTCTCCTTGGTTCAGCATGTGCTGGTCAGTGCAGGCTGTTGTGGGTGGGGTGGGGGCCAAATCCTCCAGGGACCTTGGAGGGGAGGGTCCAATTTGGGAAAGACAGCTGGATCAGGGAAGATGGGTGAGGACAGAGGAGGACAAACAAGAGGTATGGAGGAAGACCTGCAAACTTCCCGTTGAGAATACAGAAGCCAGTATTTATGATTGTCAATGGGTGGGAGGGAGGAAAGGGAAAAGAAAACGAAGGGGTGACTGAGGATGTCTACAGTGTGAATTAGCACCTCTATCTGGAAGACTGACATGGCCATGTCAAAACTAAGAACCCCAAGGCCAAGTACAAGATTCCTGGTCAGTACTTTCAAGTAGAAAGGTGATCTCCTTAGAAACTAGCCCGGCTACTGTTGCTCTGGCTAGAAGAGAACCCAAACAGTAAGGAGGAGCCACCACAGAAGAGCGTCTTCCTGAGAGCAGATCCATCACAGGAGTTCTCTAAAACAGACAGCAGGGACCCCAGGTGAGGGCAAAGAGTAAATTTTCCTGGACCAGTTTCCATAGGGTACCATCTAGAATTAGCTAGGACTAAATGTCTTATATTTGCAACAACTATCTAGATGAGACTGGCCATTTCATAGACCCAAATGGAAGGGTCTATGATGGAAACCTTTTGAAAATTCCCTAGGAATCAGCATGTCAAGTTCTTCCCTACAGCACACACGCTGGTTGTGCTGCAGAACACAGGGCATAAGTGTGGTTTCTGAGGAGACTGTTCTAACCAGGAGCTCCCATCCCTAGACTTGATTAGAAAAGCCAAGAACCCATGTACACACTGGCACTGGGATGGCGCAGTAGAGGGAAATATATTCTTGCTGCTTTCAAAGAAGCAGAAACGAAAGCTTCCTGTTTGCCCAGTACTCAGGAGGGTTTGGCATGGTCACCACACAACAAAACACTAACTGAGCTTTGATGCTGAAAAGAATCACCTAGAACAGAACCCACCTGTGTTGGATGGAGTAAAGCCTGGCAAGGAGGGGCTGTTGAGGCCAGGGAGCAACACGGGAGGAATGCCCTGGAGCGCTGGATACGCTGTAGGAAGGTTAAGAGCCTGGAGAGGGGCGTTGTCAAACATCCCTTGCTGCTGAGCTGCCAGTCCAAGGACCTCATTGGCCTTTTTAATCCGGTCCAACTCTTGTTGAGCCATCAACTGACGTACAGTGGCTGGGTCAAAGTATTCTTTCTCCTTGTCCAACTGGCTTCCAATGGTGTCTTTGACTTTGGAGATGTGCTGTTGGGAAAAGATATGGTCACGTACAGACAGCCGAGCGCTGTACTTGATGCCACACAAAGTGCACTCTGTTTTAGGTCCCTCGTAACTTGTTTGGTTTATACCAAAATGCTTGGCCATGCTTAACTTGGACTTCTTTTCTTTTGCCCGGGCGTTCTGGAACCAGACCTGAACAACTCTCTTTGGCAGTCCAATGTCATTGCCCAGGACCTCACACTCTAGCATAGTGGGTGTCCTATAGTCATTAAAGCATGACTTGAGGACCTTCAGCTGCAAATTGGTCATTTGAGTGCGAAAACGTTTCTGCCCAGGCCGATCCCCGCTGTCACCAGATTTGCCTGCAGAACCACTCACACCAGGACTCGGGGAGCAGGGGTCCGCAAGGCTTGAGGTTTCACTGTAGTCCACTGTACCTTCGTTGTCATATTCTTTGCTATAAAAGCTCGGGGCTGGGCTGACCAGACCAGATGACAACCGATCTTCATACTCGGACATTGCCATCATGGCTGCTTTGGTCAGCCCCTCACTGGGTGCAGAAGATGATTTGGTTTCAGTTGCTATTCCCGTCGCACTGTCATTATCCGCATTGCCCTCGTCTCCTGTTGTGGTGTCTGTGATTGCCGTGTTGACAGAGGAACAGTCATCGTTGTCCAGCTTAGTTTGGTCAAAGTTTAGATTAACCGAGGACATGGAGGGGCTTTCAAAGTCTTCGATCCCCTCCACCTTGATGGAGGAAGGGCTGAGGAGAGTTCTGGGAGACAGCTCCATGGTCTTACTCACAGGTGAGAGGGGGACACCCTGACCATCACTACTGCTTGGGGGAAGGTGGGAAAAGCTAGTTCCATCAAAAATATCTCCTTTCATCTGGAGTCCCCCGTCACAGTCTAAGAGCATCGCAGACAGAGTCAGGTTGTAGCCGGCTCTCTTGGCTTCATGCCAGTGGCGGGACCGGATATGAGCCTCGAGGGCAGTCTTGGCTTTGAAGAGCGCTCTGCAAAAAGGGCATCGTCTGTGGGCCTGGGCTGGGCCCACAGCCCGGAACTGTCCTTTCCTTTCCCGAGCTCGAGTGTTCTGAAACCAGACCTGCACCACGCGTTTCTTCAAGCCCACCTCGTGCGCGATGTGATCCAACATCTTTCGAGTTGGATTGGAGTCCAGCAGATACTTTTGGTAAAGGATTTCCAGCTGTTCAGGCGTAATGGTCGTCCTCAAACGCTTGTCCCTCTGCGGCTCCTCCCCTCCTGTCCCACTGTCATTCTCTCCGGGGCTCCCGCTGGCCTTTTCCTCCAGCTTCCTCTTGAGAGTGTTCATGGTGGAGGTGGGCGTGGAAGGAGAGGTGGCCGAGCTGGCGGGGATCTGAGGAATGGCCCCCGAGAGCAGCTGGCTGGCCAGGAGTGGGTTGCTGGGATCAAACAGCATGAAAGGCATGTCCAGTGACCGGTCCAAAAACTGAGGGTGGATGAACTGGTTCTGCGCACTCAGGAAGTGAAGCTGCTGATGCTCCTGCCAGTGCTCAAATGATGGGAAGGCCAGCTTGCACTGGTCGCACTGGTAGGGGATTAGCTGAGGAGGTAGGTTCGCCAGCTGTTGAGGAGTTGATGTGTGGAGGGGCTTGAGGGGCAGGTGGGAGAGCTGAGAAGGACTGGGGCTCGACTGGGGCAGGGGACACTGAGGAGGGGGCGCCTGTGGAGGAGGCTGTGGCAGGGAGGGCGGGGCAGCCAGCTGTGGGAGCTTTGGCTGGGGTGCACTGGTCTTCTGCTCCGGCTGGTCTTGCTGCTGCAGCTCTGCCTTTGGTTGTCCTTGCTTTTCTTGGGTTTGGTTCGGCTGTGCACTGGGAGGGTCAGCCTGCTTTGGTTTCTCATCACTCGCCTCTGCTTTTGAACTGAAGGTGGCCAGGTCGTCGGCCTCCGCTGTAAGCTGCAGGAAAGCAGAGGGAGCTGTATTGGCCGATGGTGCGGGGGCACTGTAAGCCTGCGAGGGCATCGGGGTGCTGCAGGAGGAGCTGGTGGGGGTGAGGATTTCCATGGCATCCATGGAGTCCTCGTTTTGGCTGTCATCCTGCCCCTCCTCGTCCTCGTCCTTGTAACACAGCTTCTTCTGGTGCTTGATGAGATCAAAGATGCGCTGGAACACCAGGCTACATTTCTTGCACTGGTAGTTCAGGTTGCTTGTTCGGATGTATCTATCATTTGTAAGCTCTCGCCGCTCTCCATCTTTGCCCTCTCCCTGATTCTCATAATTTTTCCTGGCCTTCTGTCGGGCATTCTGAAACCACACCACAATGACTCGGGTTGGAAGGTTCAGTAAATTAGAGAGTTGCTCAAATTCATCGTCCTTTGGGTAAGCATTGGCATCAAAGAAGTCCTGGAGGACTCTCAGCTGGTAGTCAGTAAACCTTGTTCTGGAAGACCTCTTGCTACCCCAGTACTCCTGCTTCTGAGGTTCTGGGGAAGGAGGCCTGGAGTCGATCTTGAGCTCCTCCAGGCTGGTGATGGGAGGATTGCTGAAGTTGTAGGGGGAGTCCTTGTTGCGCTGCCGCTCTTTGAAGAGAGTGTTCCTGAACCAGTGCTTGATCACTTTCTGGGGCAACCCAGACTTGTCTGCCATCTCTTTGATCTGCTCCTCACTGGGGGAGTTGTTGATGTCAAAATACTGGCGCAGCACTCGGAGCTGGTCATCGGTGATCCTGGTGCGAGGCCTCTTGTTCTGCTGCTGGAGCAGGGTTGGATTGAGCTGGTGCTGGTACAACTGGGCCAGGTCTGCGGGCAGAGGTTCCACAGGGCCAAGCTGAGGGGGCAGCTGAGCTGGCAGGGTCTGCAGTGGCATGGTCTGCATCATCAGCGGCGAGAAGATGGGCAGCTCCATGGGCATGGAGAGCTGGGTGAGCGGCACCGAGGGCTGGGCCGGGGCGATGGTGGGCGAGGTGATGGGTGGGGCGGATGCCGGGATGGCAGGCGTGGAGGCTGGCTGTGGAGGTGCTGCAGGAAGCGGGGGCGGAGGGGGCGGAGGGGGCGGGGGCGGGGGCTCTGGGGTCTGGGGCCTCAGAGGGTACAGTTTATCATAGTGCTCTCTGTACTGTTTGGCAAACCTCTCCAGCTGCTTAAAGGGGAAGTAATTCTGATGAACATGCTCTTGATGACTCTTTAAAATCAAGATGTTGGAAAACAGCTTGCCGCAGGAGTCGCACTCGAGCTTCTCCAGGTTCTCCCCCTGCTCCGTCTTCCCGGTCTTCTTCTGCACCTTCTGCTTGTTCTCGTTGTACTGAATGACCAGCTCAAAGCCGAAGTTCTCCAGCAAGGCCTTGGTGGCGTTCCCTCTGGCATCCGAGGCGATGCGCGGAGGAAGCATAGAAGGCTCAGAACCACCCCCTGGTGCCAGCTCTTTCTTCTCTTTGGCCTTCAAGGCATCTGGCAGCAGCTCCTTCGGTCCTGCGATGCCTTCTCCCCCTTCAGCACCCTCCCTCTCTCTCTGGCTCTCTTTTTCCTTGTCTTTGATGACCAATTTGTTTTTCTTTTCCGGGAGCTGGCTTGGCTGAAGGAGGGCAGAGTGACTCTGGGACAGAAGTTGATTTTGCTGTTGTTGCTGCTGCTGCTGCTGCAGGATCTGCTGGTGGCTCTGCTGTGGGATCTGAACCTGAGCCTTCAGATCTTCCAGCAGGCCTGGCCCCGTCCCTGTCAGCGTCAGTGCCCCGCTCGTCACTGGCAAGCTCACCTCAGGGTTGAGCTGGAACTCAGCGCTGGGGATGTAGAAAGGGAAGAGGAGGTGCTGCTGCTGCTGCAGCTGGAGCAGGGTCTCAGTGGTCATGGGGAAGTGAGGCAGGAGGGTGGGGTTAAACAGCTGGGACTGGATCAGGGCAGCCTGCTGCTGCAGTTCCTGCTGCAAGTGAGCCTGAACTTGAGCCTGGGCCTGGGCCAGTGTCTGAGCTTGTTGCTGCTGCTGCTGTTGCTGCTGCTGCTGTTGCTGCTGCTGCTGTTGTTGCTGCTGCCTGGATGCGATCATGTCTGCCAGCTTCTTCCGATTGGCCTCCTTGGGCTCTGAAGGGGAAGCAATGTTGGCACCGATGGGATTCCCTAGGGGCAGCATCCCAACACTCTCAGCGGGCACTTGGCTCAGTAAGCCGGAGCTTGGAGTGATGCTGGCACTACTTGGATTGGTGGTGGTAAAGGTGTTACTGCTGCCACTGGTGCTCACGGGACTTGGTATGGAGGAACTCAGTGGGACACTGCCACTGTTCCCAGTCCCATTGCTGCTACCACTTGCAGCCTCCAGCTTGGCTGCTCGGGCTTTGGTTTGATGCAGCACAGACCTCATGTGGATCTCCAGAGTGGAACTCTGGCTGTAGGCCACATTACAAGTGTTACACTTAAAAGGTTTGTTGTCTGGGCTGCTGGTGGGTTCTGGTTGACCAGTTGCTGATTCTTGAAGGGCTCTCTTTAACTTGTGCAGGTGGGAGACAGAATTGTAGTGCACCAGCAGTATATTCTTTTGAGTGAAAGATTCCTTACAGACGGTGCACTTGTAAGGGCGAGAAGGGTCTAGAAACTTTTCCATAGTAAAGTTGGGGCCTTTTCTGAAAGGTAGAGCTCTCTTTGGCTCTGCACCTGAATCTTCTTGTACCGACCCAGAGTCACTGCCCGTGGGGCTCTGTTTATCTTCCAAGTCACTTTCTTCTTCCTTGTCTTCTTCAACAATTATGGTGTGGTCTTCAGCCAGGGTGGGGTCTCCCATTGCCAAGAGGTCCCCATTGGCCAGAAGGCCACCATAAAGTTGTTGAATGTCGGCCTCACTCAACTCCAGGTGGCTTGTCTCAAGGTGTTTTTTCAGAGCCTGGAATGTTCGAAAACTGCGCTGACAGAGACAGCACATGGTGGCGGCTCGGATCACATGGTACTGAGAATGCAGCTGCAACTTTTCGATGGTCTTGAAAGCCAGGCTGCACTGGTTGCAGCGGTACTTGTACACGTGGCGATCTGACACGGGCAGCTGGGGCCTCTTGGCATGTACCTCGTTGAAATGTGTCTGGAGGGCAGCTGAAGTCTTGAAAACCTGGTTGCACCCCTTCTTCCAGCAGAGGAAGCCCGAGTCTTCTCTCACAGATCCTGGGTCAGCAGAAGAAGGTTTCAAATCTCCGCTGTGCTCTGTGCTTGCAGATGGCAAGATGTTCTTTCCCAGATCCTCTGAAGTTTCTGCAAACAAAAACATCAAGCCCAAAGATAAAGAAGGTCTTGTTTCCAGGATGGCACCCAGAGCCATCTACTTAGGCAGGCTTCATGAAGTGCCCAACCTGATCAATAGAATCTGCACAGGGCTGATGGAGTGCATATTAAAAACAGCGCACACAGGGACAGAGATGAATAGAAGGATACAAAAGTTTCCATTCATAATGAGCCTATGTCTTGTCACAGAACTAGCAGTCTTCTAAATAATATTTAACTGCTTGACTCAGAATCCAGTTTCTCAAGAATGAGTCTGAAGGTTACTATCTTGGGGTGCCTATTTATGTTCATCTTTTATGTTATAAGAATTTAGCATAGCAGATATGAATTAATGCTGTTCTAAGTTGTGGGGAATTTATAATAACTGTAGTCCATTATAAAGAATTTTGGATTTTACTTTTAGGCCTTTAATTACTTGTTATGACTTTTTGACTATCATCTCTATTCAATAAGCAATGAACATTAATGTGGCAAATTATTAAAATACATTAAATTTTCTTCTACAATGAGACCATCATACTCATAAATACCCCAACCCTTTTCAGATCATCTGTCCACTGCCTAATAAGAAAAACCACAAGGGAGAAGCCTAGGCACAGCGTGGCTGAACTCTTTTTAACTTAAACCTTAGATGGCTAGAAGAGGTCAAAGATGTAGGACTGTGTCACAGAGGTCTAATGATTCATCTAGGTAGGAACCACAGGATGGCACCGGCGACTGGTCTATGACAATGGTCTTTCCAGATGCACCTCTAATCCAGTACACCCCCAACTCAAAACTACCTGATTCACAAGCCCCTAATAACAAAATCCTCAGAGATCCAGTGTTTAATGGCTTAAGATGGTGGTCTACAGAGGCCTACTGGCTGCGTCTACTTATTAACTCCCACTGGTTCTCAAGCAGATTCCTCTCTCTTTTAAACCATATGAATAATATACAAATACGTGCCAGGAACCAAAGTATAAAGTAGTTGATGACAGTGACCTTCATCTCCCAATCAGTCACATTCAGCTTAGGAATCCTGCAAAGAATTCCTGCACCCTTGCCCTGTGCAAATTATGGCCACAGATCTCACCCTGTTTCAGTTCACAGAAGTTAAGATTAATGATACTAACCAGGCTGCTTTCCTGCCTCTTCCACGCTGGAATTCCCATCTCGATCTGGAACAGCTGCTGGCAGGAACATGCTGCTGGGCATCACCATCTCAGGGGTGGTCACCTGAGGAGTGAGAGGCAGAGACACAAGGAGAGTCAAATAGAGAGGAAAGAGACACAAAATAGGAAAGGTTGAAAAAATTATTTAATAAGCAAAATTAGCCTTCACCAGTGTAAAGCTGGAGGTGTCACTTTTCATAGCTCACTGAAGATTCATGTTTATTAGACAAAGCTCACATCAGTCAAAAGTGTTTCTACGGTTACATTCTGGACATAATTAGCAGTGCACACTTGAAGAATAATCTTATTATTAATATTTTTCCTTTATGCAGAATTTTGACTTTGATCACTGACAATGTTTTGTCATGGGCTGTGAAACTTCTCGTGCAACCAATTAGGTAGATAAGTTGAAAGACCCACCTTAAGCTGCTGAAAACATAATAAGGGCCCTAATTAAATCATACCGAGTAAAGTACACTGTAATCTTGAAGCAGGGAGCATTGTAGTAGTGTTTTCAAAATGTATTCAGGCAAGAAGAGGAGGGGAGGAAGAGTGAAGGAAAGGCTAAGGGAGAGAGGAGAACAAAGGCAAGGCTGAGGACATGCAGACACACTGGCAGATTTTCCAGGAAACAACATTTTGTAACCCTTTACAAGCTGATATCAAGTGCAAACAAGCCTTTTTCATGACTCACTTAAGCCAGAATTTCTTCTGGAGTCTTTTCCCGAGGTCTGTGACATCAGAGGGAACATCTGCCCAGCGTCCCAGCCATCTAGGGCAGCCTGTACAGCAGTCCACAACAAGGTGGCCCCACCTCAACCATGGCCATTATTCCCTAATACAGCAACTCCATAATTAGCCTGGTTCCAAGCAGCTCCAATTTTAGGTCAGATCCTTGGATTTTTCTCTAGGCCTCCCTCCTAGAGAGGAGGCCAGCAGCTTATGCCAACAAGTTATCATTTGCCCTGTGTTAAGGAGATAAGCATCCCTCAATTTCTAATATAAGGAGAAAAAGTTTTTGTTTAAAAAAAGAAAAATATCATCCCAGAGACCCAGGAAACTGAGGCAGGAGGACTTCAAGCTCAAGGCCAGGTTCAGCGACTTGGAAGACCCTGTCTCAAAAAAAAAAAAAAAAAAAAAATCCAGGGATACTGTAGTGCAGGATGCTTCCAGGTTCAATTCCCAGTAACGAAGGAAAATAACCCTAAAACCAAAAACCCAAAACCAGCAATATCCCTTTGTCTGCTCTGGGGTGGGACGCTTAGATGGCAAAAGTAGTTTCTACTGAATTAGAAATCACCTCCCATTTCATGAAACCCTGAAAAACAGACTGACCTAGAGGTTACAGGGACAGAAACTGCAGTCACTGCTAACCTTTCTATATCTAGCCCAGCCCCAGTCGGAGTCATTGCTTTCCCAAGCAAACACGACTTTACTGCAGTCACATCTTCACTTCCTATTGCAAAGACGGGACCTTCTAAATTTTTGTTCAAAATTAAATAAATAATATTTTAAAAATAATCTTTAGTGGCTTGAAGTTCCTGCCCTTGCTCAAAATAGCTGCTGACATGTTCACTAGTGTCACTGGCAACAGGCTCAACGACCAGCTGAAACCCAGACAAGTGGCATCAACACCAAAAAATTGATGCCCCATCACATTTAGGGGTATGAGAATTTTTTCAGCCACTGAGACACCCATATGTGCAAAAATTAAGCAACAGGCACTAGAGGGGAGGGTTCTGAGAAGCCTGTGTTTGCAAAGAGCAGGTGCGTGGCAGGTGAATGTGAGTGACACGGCACTCCTGCTCCCAGACATCTGCACCCTCGCACAGAGCTGCCAGCAGCTGGTTAGGGCGAGCTGCTGCTGAATCGTTAGAATGGGGTAGAGATTGCCAAACTCATTCCATCTATTTTCTTTTTAATAGAAAGCATTTCTGACCAGTGTGGCTGGGGAGTCCAGCGGGAATCCAAGAAGTGAAAGGTCACCGATTAATTTATAGTCTTCAGCCAAGGGGGAGCACGAGGTTGGGGGCGAGAGGGGGAGAAAAAGAAAGGAAAAAAGATTCCCCCCAACCTCCTTTCCCGGCTGTGGCTGCAGGACCAGTCCTTTCCTGGGATCTTTAGGAATTATGAAAAATGAATCATGAGAAATAAAAAAAAAGCCCTACAGAGTAAAAAAGAATAAAATTATCTAACACCTCAGCTGCACATCATTATAGAAAACTGTGGGCTTTTTATACGCATTACAGTAAGGCAGACATCCCCTCTAACAGACTCAGTACGGCGGATCAGTAATTGTTTTCATACACTTTAATTAGAAAAACTCAGATGGCTATGAATAATAATGGAAAAGAGAGACTTTTGCACTTGAAAGGTTGAAGTCAATCAAGTGTGAATGACGGCAAAAAAGAAAAAAAAAAAAAGACACCAATTCATCAGCCCTCTGTTGTCTCGCTGCGACTTTAATCATAATTCCTGATTGGGATTCAAGAAGGCAGTAAGCAGCGGTTCTTTGTCTGCCTTCACCTTCCATCAATTAACTCTCCCCGAAATATAATCATCAACCTCACATGCTCCTCTGCATCTTAATCTGGGCCTCCAAACCTGGAAGTCTTGCCCCATATGTGTTTAAGTAACTACTTTTATCCACCTGCCTCTTCTCATCTATGGTATATGTAGCCACTCCCTGAGGCAAAGGAAAGAGAAAAAAAAAAAAAAAAAAGCATGGTGTACAAAATTTTAACAGGCCAGGAGGCTCCAGGAGGCAAACAGGAAGTTTCACGAACAGAAACCTTTAAGGACCTAGAAATGTAGGGTATGTCTGCACATGCATCTGAAGAAAAGTTGAGAGCAGGAGCTGCCTCACTACACTGGCTAAGGGAGACCCCGCACCAGTTCGCAGACACCAAGATTCCCAGGCCCATGCTGTTCCCTCCCTGCCAGCTTCCAAAGCTTTTCACGCTAACTCCTGTGCTTTTTCCTAAAGAGCTATCAACTGTCCTGCCAACTGAGCTACAGAGCAGTCCTGCTCAGGGACAGGGACCCAAGACAGTGTCACCTGCCTTGACATTGCCTTTGTTTTCCAGTAGTAGTTGACTTCCAGAGTGCATGGAAGGTTCAGACTGTCCCAGCCCCAGTCCCTGATGGACAGCTGACAGTGGGAGAGTCAGTCACGCAACTGTGCTGAGTGCAGTTCTCTGTCACCAGGAACACTGAACATATAGGATTTATGAGAGGACAAAACATTTTAAGTGTGCCCAAGCTTCAGTGGTCTTCAAATAACTGGATCCCTCCACCAGCTTCCCTGTGTAGACATCATGTACATGAGCTGGCTGTCGCTCTCTTCCCCTGATTCCTCTCTGTCTGTCCACCCTCCTGCCTCATCCACATCCCCAGCTGTAAACTCAAAAGCCAAACAAAAATTTCTGAGCTTTGGTCAATACACCATCAGCTCAAACTCCTTCACTCAACACTGACTGTCTCGTCTGTGTGAACTGATCCTAATGAATCTGTATACCTGTAAACACTGAATACATTCAAATATATTTCCCACTCTCTACTGCCTTTTCTAATGGGCCTGAGAATATCAAAACAGACTTAACAATAAAAGTTCTTCTGGTTAAGAAAACTCAACTGATCAGAAGAGGCGTTTAATGCGTACAAAAAGCCCAGTTTTCTATAATGACATGCAGCCATTGCTTCCTTGGCATTTGGGTCTCTCAAGATTGGCCTTGGCCCTGCCAGGGCTGATCTTCTAGACAGCACATGTTTTCCTCCTTCCCCTTCTGAGCCAGGTCAGCTATGTTCCTCCCAGAATATGTAGGAGTGAAGAGAACACAGGAAGAAACCACCAGCAGAGCTGGGGTGCTCCAAGCCTGGAAACAAACAGTGGCTCTAACATCTCCCACAAGTTAAAGATCTCATTTTTAACAGGAGAAACTCGGGCCTCGGCTCCTGTGCTGAAACTCCTCCAGCTGAAGCTGGAAGCACTTCTCATATATAATCACAGAAACATAGGAGTTCCCAACTCCTAAAGATCTTCAAGCCTAAGCAATCCCCAAACAGCTCAGCTGTTGAGAAGCAAGGCCCTGGAGGGACTCGGTTTCTCCACTCATTGGAGCTTCATTGACTAAAGCACTGGACAGCGCTCCTGGGCTATTCTCCTGGGGGAGGGAGACCAGGCCCCTGCCCTAAGAAGCTCAGCATCTAGAATAAGGTTTTGAGATCATGAATCCCTTGGGGAATTTGATGAAAGTATCAGACTCCTAGAAAAATACTTTCACACACGATACTGCAGATAATTTCAGGAGGTCAGAGGTCCCCAGAGGGAAATATGTTGACTCAAGGGAATTGCCCTTGATCAACTGGGAGAGGTGACATGTGTTCATCAATACTGACTTTCAGTCTCCTCCTCATTTGGTTCATCATTGTTCTGGATTATAATTTAATACCTTCCAAGATCCTATGAGTGAACCTGAAAGCCCCAAGGACTCACCTTATAGAGCCTAGAGTCTTATATTTGGTTCTGGTCCCCACTTTGACATTTGTTACAGGGTGGCTGATATTCACTCCTTCTTGAGAGAGGCAGGCGTTAGAAGGAACACCTACCTGCTTCCCTCCCCAGATCACAGATGTGGAATGCTCAAGGTCAACATGCCATGCAGCCACGTCTCTAGCTTCTTACCAGATTATTCCTGCAAATTCACCCCATAAAGCCACCCTCAGACAGGCTGGCCCAGGATGTACCAGTGCAACCAACGTGCTCCCTGCGTGCTGGAGAGCTGGCTTTCTTAGAGAAAGTGTCGAACCTGGTTTCTCCGTGACTCTCCTCTCCTCCGCCTTGGCCCTGCTCAGAAGTGGGGCTTCTCTGGGAAAGGCTCCCTCTTCCAAGGGAAGGGTAGATTTGCCAAGGTCTACATTCCCAAGGATTTTCAGTGAAAATCAATAGAATGGAGCATCTCGGGCAGAAGGGGAAGTGAAAGGGAGCCACAGGCACAGACCTGGCCAGTCTCCATACCCCTGTGAATGAGGTGCTGGTTCTAGCCCCAAATTGAAGCACAAAGTCAAAACTCAACTGCTTTCAGGGTGGAGCATTAAAGCTAGTGGCCGGTGGTGTGCGGAAAGCTGCTGCTCCAGGAAGCACAGGTGCTCCCTTCCTCCAGTGCTGGGACAGCTGCCAGGCCCACCAGCTGGTTTCTGCACACCTCAGCCAGCAAACCAGGGCGCCTCTTGGCCAGCAGAGCTTCAGAGGGTCCCCTCCTCACTGCCTCCTAAAGATGCAGGCCGGCTCTGGACTACAGCGTCTGGAAGACCCAGTTTCTTTCTTTTGTCTCTCTTTTTTTAATCTAATTTTTTTTTCAATTGACACATAATTGTACAAATTTATGGGGTGCAATATGAAGAATACTTAGTTTAATGATCAAATAAGGGTAATTAGCATATTTATCACCTCAAACATTTATCACTTCTGTGTGACAAAACATTAGAAATCCTCTCTTCCATTGTGAAATACACGGCCAGTCAGCCTTTGTGCAATCAAACATCAGAATGAGTTCTTCAAATTGGACTGACTTTGTACCCATTGGCGAGTCCCTCCCAGCTCCCTGCCCCCCTCCCCATTTCCCTTCTCAAATGGCTTCTGTGTGCTTGTTTATGTGCTTCTTGTTTTTAATACGTAAAATTCACAGCCAAAGCAAACAAACAAAATAAAACTGCAGGCCATGTTAACGTTCATGTGGGTCAGAATCAAATGCAGACCAGAACCAGATTTTTAAAGGTAAGAAAGAGAGAAATTGGAAAAAGGGGCAGGGGAAGAGGAAGAGGCAGGAAACACATGAACAGTTACCACAGTGTGTGCACACAGAGGAGAGCCGAGGAGGAGAACGGAGGGAGAGAAAAGCTTCATTAGACTCCGAGAGGCAAGCAGTGGCGGTATACCAAGGTCACTTCTAATTTAGACCATCTAATTGGCAAACAGGCTCCAAATGGCTATCATCTCACAGGGCTTGGAATTAATGAAGCCCGATTATTTTCATTACTTTCCTCTGAGATGGAGACAAAGTGAAAGAGCTGATACCCAGGTGGGTGTGAAAGCCCCAGGGCCAGTGGCCACCAGAGAGGCCCTGTGGGGTGGGGGCAGAGCAGGGGCCAGACGGCCAGCCTGTTCCATAGACTCACAGAGGCACAGGCACACACAGAGCACAGTCCCAGACACTGCCTGAAGATCACAGGAGACAAACTACTGCTCCCAAAAGAGAGATACAAGAAAATGGCAGGCAGGGCAGGACAGGGCACGGCCAGGGGCACAGAAGGGAAATCTGTACAGACAGAGCAGCTGAGTACTACAAAAGGGAGGAGAGGGTGCTCCTAGGCTCAGGAGCCCATCCTCATCTCAACTGTGAGGTCCTATTTTGTTAAGTGATTAAAGAACAAAGAAAATTTCCCCATATTAATGATCCAGGATCCCAGTGGTATGTCCTGTCACTTAGAAAGACAGTGATCAATTAGAATAATTTAAGAGTATTGAAATGCATGGTAGGTGGTCTTTTCCATTCTCATCTAGGGGCCAGAAACATGTGCTCCATGTCCTCAACCTCCTTCCCCCAAAGATACAGAAAATAAGGGCATGAAGCAGTAGCTCCTACAGCTCCATCAATTTGAAATCCCCAGCTTCTCTGAAAATAGGTGAGACTTGGTTGTGTGAAACTGACATGGGGGTGGGGGGCGGACTGCCAGGATCGGAGGGGCACTTGTCTCATCTCCTTTAAGCTTTATAGATTTCCTTCTTTCATATGACGTGTACAAAGACACCATCTGGAGCTGTTTCCAATAGGCCAAGCAGAATGATGTGCCGTGGGTGCAGTTTCCATAGTGGAGGGCCAGCGCTGCAATTGTTCCTGGTGAAGAATATTTTTCAAGCCCCCTCATGAGTAAAAAGAAGGGGGCCCATGGAAGACATAGATATGAGATGCAGAGCATAAGCAAGCAGCTGTTACCATAGCAACAGACATATTAGACACTGCAGGTTCCTGAAAGCTGTCTGATAAGGTATTATTAAATGAAGCCTCCTCAAAACGCTCTCCATTTACAACCGAACGGGAAGACATTGTGTAGAAAGTAATCTCTTTCCATTTATCAGGGTGGAATTTACTTTTAGAGGGACTGAAACCCAATTCAAGCTAGATCCCAAGACTTTGGATCCAGACTGCAAAAAAATATATATATATATTTACCCAAATTTATAGCTTTAGACACACCCCATATCTGCCAGGAATCAACTACCTGGCAGATTCTGCCAGCTTCTCCTATTCTGCAGCCAAAGGCACCTAACTCAGCCACCCCTTGAGGAAGAAAGAAGACTCTCTCTTCTTGCTGCCATTCAGGGATAAAGCAGACACAAACTTTGTCCTCTTGTTGGATGAAAGGCCAGAGACTGGCCGCTCTTTAGTGATATGGTCTAGAAAATGGAGCACAGATTTGAGGGGCATTTCTCTTTGCAGAGTTTCCTGTTCCAGTTGGCTGGGAACAAACAGATAAATTGTCAGAGAGCCTAACCAATACTTTCCCAGGGCTGATTTTCTAATAAAATTACAGCAAAATACCCTCCAGGGGCATGATTTTAACCACAGGTTCATTATAATCACTTAGTTGTAAAACAACTACAAATTCCATTTTAACACCAAACTTCTGAGAGGAAGGATGCTGGCATCTGACCAAGACCAGTATCCCAGTCCTCAAACAGGATTCCAGACGCACCCTGGGGTGTGGCTACAAATTGCCCTCTAGCCCTAGTTGCTCATCATTTCCTGCTGAACCCAAGGATCCAGGTGGAAATGCATCATTTGGCTCACTGCAAACCATCTCATGACTAGGAACCAATTTCATACCGGCAGCCATGCCACAACTCCATCTTCCCATGCCCAGAGAGTGCCAAAGCAGCCTTACATGCACTTCTAAGGAAAAAGTAACACACTTAAATGATGATCTTTCCTGCATTTCTCACGACTTTCAATTTATTTTTGAATCCGTTTACTTCTTTCTCATTGCTAGCAAATCCATTTCCTAAAACAAATACATTTCCAACACTCTGCACACTTTTCAGAAATGTCTAGAAAACATCTTCATTGTCTGCTGTGGCAAGATGAGGCACACAGGGGTTTCTAACCAGGTGCCAAGCACTACTGTTTTTGAGAGCAGTTTCTCCCACATGATTATACCGTCAGGGGTTGAAGAAAAGGGATCCTTAAGCAGCTCCCTGAATGTAGCCTTAAGCTCCCTGGCGTTGTGCACACAATTCTTTATTTGCAGAGTACTTGGTGGAGGATCTACAACAGTGGCTATTAAGTTTTAGCATGCACAAATGGCCTAGTATGTTGTTGTATTGCTTTTATCAGTCTCTAAAATGGTTGAAAATCACTGCTTCAAAAGATGGTGGTTAGTGGGTAACTTCCAGGAATATCTTGAGGATTGGTACTCAAAAGTAATATCCTGCTGTTGATATTGACACTGTTAATAAATAAAGAAATGCCATTGCTACTCTAACAATATGACCAAAAAGAAGAAAAAAACAGGTATCTGAAATATAATTCACATGCCATGCTGTCCTCCATGCATGTAAAAATAAAATTTACTGTCCAATGTAAACCAGTCATGCAGATTACTATTGGCCCACAGTTCCTATGCTGGATTTGGATTAAATAGCAAAAATACCCATCTGAGCAAAACAAAACCTGTTGTTAAGTATTGGAAATGCTTCCATACCCACACTTCTTTTTGATCCTTCAGGCTCCCAGGGTTCCAGACCATCCACTAGGAAGTGAGCTGAGGCCTGGGAAAAACACCTTGTTTTTTCCAAGAGGCTGGTGAGAATTCTGGAGAGGCCTGCAGCCCAGAACCATGCACAGGTGGAACGTCTGTCCCACTGACAGAGAATCTTTCCACAAAGTTCACCAGCCTCTCTGAAAATGCCCATGGAAAGTGAATTTATACATGAAAGATGTCTGGAAGAAGCTCACAGTAGGTCACCTCTGAGTTTTCCATTAGCTGTTAAAGTTCTCTTGATGCATCATCGATTACATGATCCTCACAACCAAACATCACCTGCAACATCGTCCATCAGTCTCACATAACCAAATGGAACAGGAAATGCCTACAGGTGATTATGATCAGAATTAAATCTTTATACTACAAACTTCTGGGCCATGTTTATAGCGACCACTTAGAGTCATTCCCTCAAAGCTAGCAGGTGTAGAAACAATGTGCTCACATGCAAAGATGACTCATGAATCACCAAGTGACAACTTTCTTTCTTGATACTAATATATCCATTTGAGAAACTCCCATATTACTGTGCTGCACCTAGAGTTAGAAATGTAGGTTTAAGTTTTGATTCTGCCACTCACAAATGGTGTCAAGTTGATTAACTTCTTTGAGTCTCAGTTTCCTTATCTGTTAATGGGAACATGTTGAACTCTCCTTCCCCGGCTTCTCTCTCTTATAACAGAAGTTGTTATGAGGATGAAATGAGGCATAGTGAATTTAAGAGCCACCTCGACCTGCTCAGTAAAGGTTGCAGAATCTGAATGAGGGTTTCTACACATTAATGGAGAGTCATTCCATTCCTCCGAATCCCGAGAGAATGATAAAGGAGGGTGAGAAGCACATATTTAGCAGTTTGGGCCATGGTCATGCCAAGTCTGAGGGAGGGACATCTGAACCAAGGTCACAGAGCTCGGATGATTTTCTAACATTTCCAACTTTGCATAGCTTTCCCTGCCAACCACAAAGATCTTGTTCATGTTACTGTATCTCCTTTTGGCCCCTGGAGGAAGAAAAGTCCTGTTCCTGGTGCCTTACCGTCATAATGAGTTTCTCCACGCAGTCGGGTGCCACGCTGTGGAGGTGGGTGAGGTGCAGCTGGAGGTGAATCTTGTTGTTGAGCATGTCCTGGCACAGGGGGCAGCGCAGCATGGGCTGTACCGAGTGCTGCGTCATGGCGTGCACCCGGAGCCGGTTCACGTCGGCGTTGCTGTACTTGCAGTAGGGGCACTGGTACATCTGTGGGGACACACCCACCGCTCCAGCTGAGTCTTCCATTCTCGCCTCAAGCCCTCTCACCCTAGTGTTCATTCCCCACCAGTGTCAAATTGCCCTCCACCCCCAGCAGGGCCTCTTCAGCCTCACCTGCTCTGGTTTGCTCTCCTCGGATGTTTTTGGTCGCTTGGAAGAGAGAGGACAGTCTGAGCTACCCGGGAAGGAGATGCGTTTAGAGGTTGCAGGAGAATCTGTCAGCTCCTTCTCTGCTTGGCTGGACGATGCTGGAAGAAAAAGTAGAAGATGAAATACAGTAGGCAGACCAGGCCCGCTGCAGGTGTGTGTTGGGTGAGAAACAGCATTCCATAGCGTTCTTTTATAGCAGTGTTTTGTTAAACACCAAAATGCAGGAAGGATGAACATCCAAACTGATTTATCAAGCGTGTTGGAAAAGAGAAGGGTTTCTTTTCTCCCTATGAATTTCTGTCACCACACTAACAACTGAACATTGAGAAAAGAGGTAAAGAAATGGAATACAAAGCTCTAGAGTAGAATGAGACTAAATCCAGTCCCTTCTAACCTCCCCCAACCTACACATAGTCCACTGTCTTGTATCTGCGGGGGGTAACAGGGCTACAAGTGGGTGGCCAAATCTCACCAACTGCTTTGCCAACTTGAGTACCAGACACACTGCTTCAGAGATGCAAGAAACTAGACATCCCTCCTCCTGGAACCACAACACAGCACACTACAGGCAACCTGATAAATTATAATCTGAGAAGGGTTCAGTGGATATCTGGATACTAATATGTAGGAAGAAATCAAGTCTGGGTCCAGCAGTTTGCTCTTGGAGAAGAAAAAACTGGGGAGTGGAACTAGGCAGGGAGTTTATCCAAGTTATAAACAGGCCAACATGTCAGATGTAAGAGGCTGCTCCGGAGGGATGGAAAGGGAACGGGTGTCCTATCTGCTGGCACAATCAGGCCTCTGCGCCCCTCCTGTCCCATCACCCCCCAAATCAAAACACCAGTGAATGAAGAGAGGCACATGAGGTTTGATTAGCAAACAGCGGGTATGGATGTGTTGGCAGAAGGAGCTCTCTGGAGCGTAGAAAGGAACCTGGAAGATTTTCATGAGAAAACAGCTGGGCTAAGGGTCTAATCAGGATAAGCATGTCTCCTCCAGTGTAACACACATTCCAACATGGCTGGCTTTGGTCATTCTAAAGCCTGGCTGGCATCTGAGGGATAAGCTCTTTCACTTATTTTGGACATGGAACTCCATTTTTTTTAGAATTTTACATAAAGCAATAAGGAAAAAAAAATCCCAAAAAATGGTTGGGAGAAGATACATATACCCACAGCTGTCATCAAAAAATATTGTGACTCAGCATTTAGGTCACCAGCTAGCCTAATTTTACTCCACAGTAAAACTGCTTTCTTCCCCACCTTGTCTAGTTCTCTAGCACGTATTTTCACTTTATATTCAATTTTGAAATTTGTTCTTCCGTGGACACCAAGGAACTGTCGTTGTAGATGTGTACTTTAATAAACAACTTTAGAAAATCAATTTTATTCATTCAAATCATAAGGCCACAAAATTATTTTGAAAAAAAAATTGCCAAATACAGGAAATATTCCAGGAAGTTGATGTTCTTCCCAGAATGCACATCTTATGACCTTTAACCTCAGTATCTTGATAACCTGGTATCCATAAGTTTGTAGGACATCTATTATTTAAAAAGTACAAGGACAAGCATATTACACATAGACCCCTCCTCCTCCCAACACAGATTCATAACAGTACTTTAATCTGTCTCGAATCGACTTCAAACCCATTTTGCTCTTAATGGGAGTTATTCATTTTCACTTGAAAGGTAATACATGACGGCGGGATATTTAATGTGATGGACTGGCTGCTGATTAACTAGGTGCTGTAACATTCTAGACCAGTTCCCCCATGGCCCGCTTCCCATCTCCTGGCCCCTGTCGGACCTGATCCTACGGAATCTTGCACTGCAGGTTTTAGACCTTGCGACACGATGAGCCCCTGCCTGGACACTTCCAAACCTCAGGGTAATGTTTCGGGAACTCAAGGTCCCTCTGTCCCCAGAGGGTTCCTTATTCTCCATCATTTTTATTTTTGCTTAGTGGATATTGTCTAAATAGTAACTCTTCAAATACACTCTAAAGATGGGGTGAGTGAAGGCATCAAATGGCACAGTCTTTAGATGGTTATTTGTCCCTGTTGTCCCCTCACCTTCCCTATTTCACACCATTAGATTCTGGGCTCAGTACTTATAGTGGGGAAGGGCTGCTCTCTGCTTCTCCTCCCTGCAGAGGCAAACCAAAATCCAGGCTCCGTTCGGACACCCATTCCAGTGTTTCTGTTAGTCTCTCTGGCCCAAAACTACACCAACGTTTACAGGACCACGACATCGCTGTATCAAGGCCGCCACCTGCCCGTCACCCCACCATGGACTGAGTTGGCTGTGTAGCTGCTCAGCAGTGAGAATGAATGGGCGCCGAGGCTGAGACCACCCAACTCATCTCACTCTCTTGGAGCTGAAAAGCAAACACAGGAACCCAGTGTGGCATTAGTTTCCTCGTAGGACCAAAGAGTCCATCCTCCTCCTTCAATGCTGAACGCGTGCATTGTAGCGGGGTTGCAGAGGTGAGCATTCCGGTTTCAGAAGCCACTATTCTTTCCCCCTGCATGGAGAGGGGAACCTTTATTACCTTCTTTTTTTTTTTTTTTCAAACTCACACTGCTCTGGAATTCTAAAGCTTCTTTTGTGAGCTTGAGCTAAAGAGCCATTATAAAGTGTTTTAAAAAATAAAATCAGTACTCGCTCACTCATTCCTCTTTATTCCCAGTAACACAACAGCTCTGCTGTAATGTGAAATACTGTACCTGCTGGTGCACAAACTTTGGGTTTAATCTCCTTTCTCTCCGAGACAACTGCATCCTTGTTAGAAGGACTCTGCCTGGAAGTGGACACGAGCCACCAGCTCACTAGCTCCTCTAGAGACAAAGCAAGACCATTCTTACAACCGAGTCTATAACCACCCAGACACAACCTGTTTCCTAGGGGCTGTGGGGGCCGTGCCTGGGAGTTAGGTTAAGCACAGCTGACACAGTCTCCTCCCTACCTGGACCTCAGACACAAAAACATCAAGTCCTGAAGGGGAAACTGTCCTACTTCTGAGTGGCAGGAACTCCCCATCAACGTGTTAGCTGAGGGTTTATTACAGGCCACAACCCGAGGTTTTCTCAAGCTTTTCTCTGAACAACTTCAAAAGGACCCCAGTCTCAAAATCAATTTCTGCTTCATTTCTGTCACTAGCATATGTTGTAGGCATAAGGAAATGAGGCCGAAAGAATATCAAGAGAAAGTACTGTAGTTTTCTGCTTTGAAGACTTTTCTAAACTTGAACTTAAACTCTAAAAGAGATGTCACAATATAGAAAACACATTAAAAAATCAATTACTGGTCACCCTGAGTCTGCCATGATGTAACATCAGTGCAAAGGAAATAGATGTGCTCCAGAGACAGGACATGGTTCAAATGGTCAGTGCCCGAAATCTCTGGTTTATACCAGCAATGAGAAAACCAAACAATGTGAAGGGTTACTACCTGTGGTGGCTGTTATAATAATGATAAAGTAAATTGGCAGCAATCTACATACTTTACAGCAGGGCACGGTATAGCCATTATACGGCATATGAGAGAACATTAAAAATTTCCAGCTCTGAAACCAATATGGAAAAAAAAAACATTGGAAATGTAAATCAGAAAAGAAGATAAAGTTGGAATTATGTTATGTCACCACTATGTTAAAAAAAATAGATATTAGGAAGAAACTAGAAGAAAATGTATTTAGGTGAGAGCATCTTGGGCCATTTTTAAAGTCTGTTATGTAGTTATATTATCCCTAATATTATAATTAAATGGTTTAGCATTTAAATTCAGCTGTCCATAAAAAAGTTGATATTTGGATCCATACTGTGCAAAACATCAGGTGGTATTTTTTTTTTTTTTTACTTTGCTGGTTAAAGCAAATTTTCTCACTTTGGCAGTTATGTCATATGAAAATATGTGTTAAATCGCAATGAATCTTCCACAGGCGACACGCTGGGATCCTGGCATTTCAAAAGGGATCAAAATATGGCAAGAAATCGTGAGTGGTGCAGTGTACATGACACACTCTGTCGGGCAAGGTAAACGGGATGTTGTGACAAGAGAAATGTTGGGTCAAAATTCCTACTGAAATTTAACAGAGTGCTGGCTGTGGTTCCTTGCTACACCGATTTTCTCAGGAGTTAAAAAGCACATGGTCATCTTGTTAGGAGGTGCTGCTGGCCCACCTGGCTTGAACAGAAACAGCTGGTTGTCTCTACCCTGGAGTTCAGAAAATTCAAACTGGCTTTTGGGCAAAGGGCTAAGAGCTACTGTACCCTTCAACTGGGAGAAAGGAAACTAGCAAAGACAAATATTGAAAGAGGGAGACCTGATTCATGATTCTTCATGTTATTGTCTCAAGTTCCTCTACGTTTTGGACAAAAACAGACAAATAAAAACAACATTTCAAAGGGAAATGTGGTCATCAATAAATGGTTTCCTTAGGGAGAAAGATTATTTATGCCTTGGACTTTATCATATTTGGGGAGTATTTAACCTCTAAAATAATTATTTAAAAAGGTATCCCTCCTCTTGAACTAGGAGGAGGAGCAGCGAAGAGGGCTCATGTGAACTCAGGCAAGTTTTGCTGGCCCTTTGCAAGAAATGGTTCTATAATGTTCTAATCCCAGAGGATAATTAAAACAAGGCTGGAAAAACTTCATTTAGGAAATGATTTGCTTTAAAGAGTAGGTGAGGGAAGTATCATCGATCGGCTGATGAAGTGGTCACGTATGGGAGAAACGCAGCATTTAAACCTCACGTCACCTATGCTCTCATCTGCTCACATCACTCTTCCCAGAACACAGTCTCACCCAATCCCTGTCTTCACTTCCAAATCGGAGTCACTGAGACTTTGGCCACAGAAGACTTCAAAGAGTTGTATATGCAACTCCAGTGACCTTAACGCCCAAACATGCCTCATTTCTCCTCTGGTGACATGGGCTGTATGACTCTGAAACCAGGCAAGGCACCGAGTTGCTGCCTCATGACAAGCCTGAAGAAAAACTGGAAATGACGAGAAAAAACAGAACTTGAGCGCATCCAGCTTTCAGCCCCCTGTCAGCATTAGCCTGGGGACCCGCCTGTCCTTCAAGAACATGA